GGGAGGAGAGTGGTTGCAGGGAAGGGGGAGGGGAGTGGTTGAATGTAAGGGAGGAAAGGGAGGGTTGCATGAAAAGAGGAAGGGTAATGAGAAAGCTGAAAGTTTGATATATTTATCGACTAAACAAGATGGAGCTTATAGAATTCAAAAACGTACAAAAGTATAACTTAGTTTACAATAAGCTTAGAATGATATTGTGCAGTATCTTTTGATGCTTTGAACATCAAGAAAATCATAATTGAAAAAGATAAAAATTTAAATTAAGATTATTCAAAATTATTCTAGTTAAGCTGCAAAAAATCTAATTTTTTTTTCTCAGTTAAAAATGGCGATGAAAAGTAAAATTAAAAATGTTCCTGTTTCACAGCCCCATAAAAACTATGGATATGGGACAACTGCAGCTTTGGTTAACCTCCCATAGTAAGATTTAACTGTATTTAACCTCCCATAGTAAGATTTAACTGTATTTAACCTCCCATAGTAAGATTTAACTGTAGTTAACCTCCCATAGTAAGATTTAACTGTATTTAACCTCCCATAGTAAGATTTAACTGTATTTAACCTCCCATACTAATATTTAACTGTAGTTAACCTCCCATAGTAAGATTAAATTATAGTTAACCTCTAATAGTAAGATTTAACTATAGTTAACCTCCCATTGTAAGATTTAATTGTAGTTAACCTCCCATAGTAAGATTTAATTGTAGTTAACCTCTAATAGTAAGATTTAACTATAGTTAACCTCCCATAGTAAGATTTAATTATGGTTAACCTACCATAGTAAGATGTTACTGTAGGTAACCTCACATAGTAAGATTTAACTGTAGTTAACCTCCCATAGTAAGATTAAATTATAGTTAACCACCCATAGTAAGATTAAATTATAGTTAACCTCCCATAGTAAGATTAAATCATAGTTAACCACCCATAGTAAGATTTAATTGTAGTTAACCTCTAATAGTAAGATTTAACTATAGTTAACCTCCCATTGTAAGATTTAATTATGGTTAACCTACAGGGTGTCCCACGAAACATGACAATTGCAAGACGACTTAAAAGTCGTCTTTGATATTTGAATTTATTTGTGACATTTAGTCCTCTATCTACTTTAACATGTATGATTCTTGAAACAATTATCATATAATTCTCCTAGCCCTGGCAATTCCCAAAAGTGGTCTGCGTTTTTTTTGCTTTCAATATTACCGGAGATATAAAGAGTTTGGTTCAAAAGTGTAACCTATAAACCGACCTGGGAAAAAGCAAACATGAATACGTTTAACAGGTAACAGTAAAAAATATGACATTTTAATCCTATTTTTGGCAAATTAGCATTTGCATGAGGAATGTTTAAGAAGGGGTCAACTTCATCTTTTTTTAAATCTGCTGCATTTTAAAAAGCTAATTTTGCAAAATTAAGTTTGATTTTTGTAAAAATGGTTGCACTTAAAGAGGACAAATAGATGTTTTTCAAAACATATTACATAACATGTAGATTTTTGAAAACCCCTTGATTTTAAGCATTTTCACACACCTACAGAATATTTGAAAAGTTGAAATGTCCAAATATAAAGAATTTTTAATATTTTATTATCTAAAATTTACTACTGATACATTCTGTTTTATTCACTAATCTTACACTCATAAACTTTATTCATTGAAAAGTATGAACATATACTAACTAATCAATTCAAAAATACGATCAAATTTAGACATAAACTATACAACGATGTGAATCTTACTAATTTTACAACTAACTAAGAGTAGAGTATTTCAACAAATGAAGCAGTAAACATATCTCTACATATATTTCTTTAACCAGCATTAGTAAATAGTAGATAAACTATGTATAGGTAGTTAAACCACTTCTATTGTGCGCTGAAGTGGTTTAGATTTAAAAGAATTGGTTCAACTAAAGTCAACGTAGCTTAAATGGGTGTTATTAATCTTTGATTTTGTCTTTATATACAGTGAGAACCAGATAACTGTGGAATAGAAAGATGACATAAATGCAGTGCTGAAAAGTTTTTGATGTTGTCACAAAGCAAATAGTTTTACTAGTAACTTATAAAATTACTTATTAAGTAAAATGGGTCTGTTTACACAGCACAATTATTGTGTCTCGTGGTCATTTGACTATGTAAAGTCCTAATTTGTGTCAAAAAGTCGTCTTCATATTTCAGAGTTTCTGGTGCTCACTGTATTATTAAAAAAGTATCTGATATTTTACTATTAGGGCTGAGATAGCGCGGCAAGCCAAGCTGCTGAAAAGCTGCTTGAGGAAGCTAAATCTCTAATATATTAGGGCTGAGATAGAGCGGCAAGCCTAGCTGTTGAAAAGCTGATTGAGGAAGCTAAATCTTTGAAATATTAGGGCTGAGATAGAGCGGCAAGCCTAGTTACTGGAAAGCTGCTTAAGGAAGCTAAATCTCTAATATATTAGGGCTTAGATAGAGCGGTAAGCTGCTGAAAGCTGCTTGAGGAAACTATATTTCTCTAATACATTAGGGCTGAGATAGAGCGGCAAGCTGCTGAAAAGCTACTTGAGGAAGCTAAATCTCTGATCCACGATGCTAAGATACGAGTCGATAAAGGAGAAACAGAGGTACGTGTTTATAACGCTTTATAACTTTACAAGTAGCTTGACAATCAACTTATTTGGTGAAATGGGCACAATTGCTGTGTTTTTTATTCATTGGACTATATTTGAATCATAGCTTGAGCCTAACAGTCGTCTTCCTATTCCACAGTTATATGGGTTCCACTGTATACATGAATAACCCATGTTTCACCAATTTAATGTAGAGTTTTTAGATTTCAATGGTTTTATTGATTTACAATTTTTGGTGTCTAATTGTTTGGCCCCCTCCTCCCACGATATTTGAAAAAGAATTGTACCCAAGAAATCTAGGTGCACCATAATTTCACCTTCAAGAGATATATTTATTTGACTTCCTTACTAGATTTTCTTTCCCAACAGGGAATACAACCTTACTGCAGTGCTTTAGTCCTGACAGTGGTCTTCAGAATAAACTGGAATAGAAAAGAACTTAAATTGTTCTAAAGTTTACTAATTTTGACGTTTTTAATTTATCTATAAAGCAACTTAAAATAGAATTTATCAAATGTTTGGTATTAAAATCGGTTTTGCTATTTTATGTGTTGAAATTTTTAAAAATACCTTTGTATTAATTTTTTAGCGTTAAGGGGGCTCCACAAGTTTTACCCTTAAATATTTGAAAAACGGTTTACAAATGATTCTAAGATATTCTAAAATGTCGTCTTCTCCATTGCAGTATCGTTAAGGTTGATGTGAGGTTAAAGTTGCGAAGTGTTGATCTGGATTTCTGGAGAGGAGAACTGGATAATAAACTTGCTCAGCTTAAACAGGAGATTGAAGAGGTATTTTTTTAAGTTATCCACGGAAAAAAATTAAATGGACCGTATACTAGAGATGGTCGCATTCGGCTTTTTCATTTTGTTCGTTCATCGTTTCTGAACGACACATTTCGTTAATTTTTTTTGAAAACAGTTTAGAAATTGTTCATGAAAGTTCAAGATTGTTGAACATTTGAAATCCTTTCCTTTTTGTTTTTAAAAACCTACAGCTTTTTCATTTCTCTGAACGATCCAAGTCATTCGTCCATAGTCCGTTTTTTTCGTTCACGAAAAATTTTGTTCGTTCACAAAACGATGCCCATTTCTACTGCAGACCTAATTTGCAAGTTTCTAAGAGTACTGTTATAGATCCAGCATGTCACATAAATGCACGGGATACAGTGATTATGTCCCATATAGTCTCTGTAAAGGGATCCCGAAGGAAACTTGGTGGCGCACAGTGGGGTATTTTAGGGGGTCAGGTGGTGACATGGTTTTTGTCGCAGTACTTCTATTA